TTTTTTTTTTTTTTTTTTTTTTTTTTTTTTTTTTTTTTTGTTCTTTTTTTTTTTTTTTTCATTTAAATCGATGATAGATAACAATGAGTCGTTAATAAGAAAAGTCTGACGATATGATTAGTTAGATCGCAACGCATGAAACTGGGATCAATTATCTTGATAATTCTCCATTCATCATCATCATCATCATCATTATTATTATTATTAATCTTTTGATCATTCTTTCTTCTTCATTTTTGTCTCGAACGTTGATTGATAGATTTAATGTAACATAATTTTAAAAGGGAAGATCATTGCGAACGTTTCTCTCATGTATTATTAATGAGAATGTTTAATTAATTAGTTTGTTTGTTAGTTTGCTCGTTTCTCTTTTTGTTTTTTTTTGTTTTTGTTTTCCCTTGATTCCTTCATTTGTATAAACAACGACGATATTATTTACATATGAAAAAACGGTAACGATACTTTGTCGGATCGTTCGAATGAATATTTTCGCTTTTTTTTTTTTTTTTTTTTTAGCGAACAACTTTCGATATTTTTCAGTTACACATATTCAGGTTCTCCTGCTGAATTTATCGTTTCGATATTATTTTTTACGTCGTCCGATTTCGTTCGCTTCGAAAAATATTTTCGTATCGCGAATGTAGGATACGAAAAAAAAAGTCGCTATGAATCAATTAGAATTATTTTCCAAAGATGTGTGTGTGATCAATTATTCGTATCGAAAAAGAAACATTTTTATAAATTAAAAATCATTTTTCAAGTGACGCGCTTCCATTGTATACAATTATAATTTTTCATTAGAATTTTTGTCAAAAGATTTAATGCATTTAAAAAAAAAAGAAATAATCGTGTTGCTCGTATCATTTTTCAATTATTTAAATTTCATTCATGTGTGTATAACACATCGGATGCGTCTCTCTCATTTCACGTTAAATAATTTATTAAAATGTTTCTCGCGAGATACAATAAATATTATTTTAGATAATTATTGAGATAAAAGTATAGCAAACGCGAAATGTATTCGAGACGACGTAAATTATCGTTAACTTTGGCACCAAAAATTTTGGAACCAGTAATCTCAATTTTTTTCGAACCAAATCACCGAGATAAGATTATTTTAAGCTTATTTAATCGGATTTTCGGATCGATTCGAGTGATATTGTTTAATAAAAGATCGATATAGGTACTCGCATAACGCCCTTTTATACGATCAACCTAAACTCATTCATACGATTCGTAAAACATTCGATTCATACACACGACGTTTCTTTTATATTTATTTTATTCTCACACTCACACATACATACATACATACGTACATACGCAAAAATTCATACAATTCGCGCACGTTCATATATTTATATATTTATATTTATATATATATATATATATAATATATTACCTTTAATAAACGTCTATAGGTACATATATATATATATATATATATATTTATATGTAATTGTATAGACTATTACATTCGCAACACACACGCTCGACGTGATTATACAGTTTTGTTTAGTGAAAAAATTTTCGTGGATCAAACAGGTTTTTACGCGATTTCATTTCAAGCTCTCACTTCATAAAATATTTTGCACCGGTATATAATGAAGTATAATATAATTTAATTCGCAATAAGAATAACTAGCAATAATAATAATAATAATAATAATAATAGTAATAGTTATTATTCGTGTCACACGATCAGAGACACTTCGTCTTCTCATTCCTACATTTCTTATTTTCAATTTGTTTTTCTTCATTTCTTTCTTTTTCCATCTTGTGTGTTGTTTGTTTGTTTTTTATTATTATTATTATTTCTTTTGGCACGTGACAATTACTCAAAATTCTTCCTCTTTTCATTTTTTCTTTTCTTATCCCCCGTTTCTTTTTTTCTATTTTTTTATATTCTTTGCTGCGAGTATCGATACGCGTATATTCGATGTAAGTGTGTGTCTCTACACGTATATCGAATAATTATTATAATATTTATATGTATTTATTATACACAGTTAACACACCACTCACTTATTTTTATTTTCTTCATACTTTGATTTCTTTTCTCTTTCTTTCTCTCTCTCTTTCTTTTTCTCCTATATTCTCCGTTTTATTTATTTGTATCTCGTTTAAATGTGAGAAATGGCAGTTTTAATGTGACGAGTATTATTTTTTATTTAATTATTTTTTTTCTTTTTTTTTTACTGGTTTGCACATGCACCCACCCCAGGACCATCGTTTTACTATGGAATTGAACGATTTCATTTCGAGTTTCTTTCATTATTTCATTCTTTCTTGCTTGCTTGTTTGCTTTCTTTCTTTCTTTCTTATTTCATTGGTTTTTCTTGACCTTTTTTTTTTTTTTGATTCTCTCCTATTTGATTCTCATACAATTATTTACAATTTACAAACGCGTTCTCGTCCGAAGACACGGGAGAACATATCGACATTTCCGAACTTGAATTTAATTTTCTATATATATCTTTCTTATGACATATTAATGATATTAATTTTATGATTAGAGCAGATGCCCGTGTACGTTAGATAAATCGTTAGAAAATTTTGGCAGTGTTATGTTATGCGTAAATCCCCATAAAGCATTGTCTTTTGTTATAACGACACACATTAAATTATCGTAAACGTATTTAATCGTATTAACGATCAATTTGATTCGACGAAAATAGAATAATAAGATTAAAACAAATATGTTTAAGTGATTTCACATATCGATACATTAATAATTCGAATTCTATTAAGAAAATAACTCTTACGTATTCAGAAACGTAATAAATTATATTAAGAATCTAATTAGAGATTCGATTTAAATGTCGAATAAAAAAGTGTGAGTCAGTTGATTTCACACACGTCACAATACATGAATAATTTAATTCAAGATTGAGAAAATAACTGTTACATAGTCAGAAACGTAATAAATTATATTAACAATCAATTTGATTCGATTTAATGTCGATAAAAACGTAATTCATTATAACAAAACAAAAAACATGTGTGATGATATTATGAATGATTAAAAAAAACATATACAAAAGTCTGCTTTATGGGATAAAAATGAATATTCGTTTGTTAATATTATAAAATGTTGTATATACGGCGAGTTAAAAACTAATACAAAAAAAAAAATGTCAAATTAAATGATCGTTCGGAAATTCGATATATTATTTTAGTTGTTTAATCGTTAAGGTGCTAAGCATATTGTTTATTCGATTAGTTGTTTAATTATTCAGGTGACGTACTCGGGTTTGCCGTCTCGCATTGTCCAATGCCTTGGTGAGACAGGAGTCCAAGGTACCGCGACGTCTAACGTCGCGACGCTAGACGTCCTTCGTGGAAACCTTGAAAAAACCTTCTTAGGGCTCTTAGGTGGTGAATCCGCGAAGGTTACGCTCCTTCTCGGTGGTCTTCTAGGTGGCGGTGGTGGTGGAGCCATCAATGGTGGTGGTGGTGGTGTCGGCAATGAAATAGCTGGCGACTCACCTGCCGAGCTGTCCGAGTAGCTTACACCTGAGTATGCGTATTGCTGTGCACCTGGTCGCCCTCGGTAGTCCCAATCGCGTTTGCTGGGGCGTAGTACTGAAAATTTATTCGTTAATACCATTCCTATAGAATTTATTTTACACATTTTTTTTTTCTCTCCTTTTTTGGTTTCTTTCTTATTTTTATATTTTTCTTTTTTTCTCTCTCATCCGTGGGAAGTAATTTTTTATAAGAATTCTTATCACAGAGAAAAACAATGTATAAGAATTTAATTATTAATATTCTTGTCCAAAAAATATATTAATATATAAGTCTCAAAGGGAATTATAGACGGTTAATAAATCTGATGAACAATTTATGTTGAATTAGTTGATTTCACACGTAATTTCACACATATTTTGAACATATGATTACGTGTGATAAGATAAGGTGTTTTAGGATCAAATTGTATTGTAATATGTTAAGTTTTATTGAAATGTATGACTCTGTAAAAAAGATAATATGTATTGACACGTGAACTATAAATGATCAAGTTGCTTATGAAGTCCCCAGTAAGGGACGAAACGTACAACTAGTTCAAAATAAATTGTTCATCAGATTTATTAACCGTCTATAATTCCCTTTGAGACTTATATATTAATGTATAAGAATTTTTTAAAAATTGATTTATATCATCAAATTTCTTATTCGTTTGATTTGTTTTACTTCTCACGGACGAGTCACGTTATTTTGTTCTTTTTTTTTTTAAATCGTAGATTTAAATAAATGTCATCGTATTTTCAAATAACTCGTATGAATTATTCTCGTTAGTCGTGAAACCTTGAAATTAATTAATTCGTCGTGTTAATAGGATCAAACTAATTTCGTGTTGTATCTTTAATCATTTTTTTTTCTTTTCTTTTCTATTCTAATATATTATGTATATATTTATATATATATATATGTTTTTTTTTTTTTTTTTTTTTTTGTTTCTTTCCACATTTTCCTTTTTTTTTTTTATATATCTACGAAGCTTACAAATTGTATTTAAAAGCGACATGCGATGCGTCATAATAATGTTCCACTCGTTGACGCGCTAAAGAGCTTGCTCGAAGCCATGCGAATTATGCGCAAATAAGCTGCTCAACTTATCGATCTTCGTCTACGAGGAAAGATTGAATATAAGGATAATATGATGTATGTGTGTGATTATATATATTAAAGCTTTTTAGAAATTAATAAATCGTCTTATTTTAAATCGAGTCATCAGTATATACACTAATATTACAATGGAACAATAGGTGGAAGGTTTAGGATCGTATTGAACTGGTCAGAAAAAAAAAAGAAAAACAAGAGAGAGATAGAAAGAGAGAGATAGAAAGAAAAAGTAAACAAAATTCCCGATATCATTTTCATCCAAATATTTGTATCGAATAATATATCCACAAAATAATTCATATTATTTTACGAAATTAATTAGCACATTGAGTTTTGGGTTATTCGTAATCGATGGGTGAGAACATGTAAAGCATTAAAATAAAAACAAAATAAAAATAAGAATAAGAAGAAGAAGAAAATAAAAAAGAAACTTATATCTATATATATTTTATGATTCGGCCAATAAATTAGTGCGATCTTTTGCATTAGAATAGTAAAAAATCGCACGCATTTATTCGGTTAATTTAGAAATGAAATCAAATGAAAGATGAAAAAGAAAAGAAATGGAAAATAAAAGAAAAGATGTTAGACAGATAAGATAGATAGAAAGATAAGATAGAAGACAGAGAAAGAGACAAGAAAAAAGGGATAAAAATGAACGGGCTAAAGTACTCACATATGGTCCCGGGAAAGGCGCATGCATCCTCCGTCTAACTCTGGAGTCCGTACCACTAGAGACAAAAACAAAAGTAGAACGAAATGCGCAAACGAGCAATAATTAATAAATACGCCTCCTCTGCAATCGTCGGATGAGAGAAGAGACAGAGATAAATAAAGAAATTTCAAAAAAAAATTAAAAAAAAAAAAAATAAAAAAAAATGATATATGAGCGCAACACATCCAGCCAGCCGCACATCGCACGCACCGAAATATCTATTTTATGCATAATGTATACACGTACGCTAATAGTAATAATAATAATAATAAGTGAGATAAATATATATATGTATAAGTGTATATATATGTATATATATATATTTATATATTCATATATACAGTATGCAATAGTTTATAAAGGGTCTTCTCGTTCCACCATCATCATCATCATCATCATCATCATCATCATCATCATTGATTTCGACGTTGTACATTTTCGTCGAACTGACCATCATCAAGGTGTCCATTGAGACACCAACAAAAATATATATATAACGGATATACTCGTTAGGGTCCGACCAAACGAGTGTGTGTTAACGTTTATACGCTGCTAACTGCATGCCAAGCGTACTCTATGTGTATCTAACTCGTATTTCTATATGTATAGGTTATAAATCTTATTATATTCTATGAAAATATATCGTTTATCTTCAGTCAACGATCACTAATTAAAATTTTTGGTATTTACAATGATTTATATATATATATATATATATAGGTTATAATGTTTCAAATTTCATTGAAAATAATTCAGGAAAAGTTAACTATTATATTGTAGAGATTAAACATTGGTATAAAGCATTAATAAAAAGTATACTTTTCCCAAATCTGATTTTTTCCTATTAAATAAAAATTCTCCCGACTAGCAATATTAATCATAAACTTTATTTAGTGACTTATTAAACTGAATATATATGATTATTTCTATAATATTAATTAATATATAGGGTTGTAACTATACATATATAAATACTAGCGTGTAACGAATAGGACACTTCTGTCAAGGTTCCATCCTCCTTTATAAGACTTTGAAGTGTTTTTAATCGAGAGACGAAAGAAACTGCTTCATCTGGAATAATAATCTAATTGATTTTCGAAAAAGAAAAAAAAAAAAAAAAAAGAAAGAATAAAATGAATTATACGTTTATAAGATATTTATTTTGTTTGTATTTGTTAGAGATCATGAGTTTCTTTCTTCCCTCTTTTGGAATTGATTTCTACCGATCGTGTGTGTGTATGTGTATTATTGTTTTGGTATGGGTGTGTGTTGAACGAGCTAGGATACCGACTCACCCGGCCATTGTCGAAATCTCGACCACCACCGATCGTCAATCTTGCTTTTGCTTTCATTGCATCCGACAGTGGTATCTAAAAAAAAAAATAAAATAAAAGAAGAGAAAAGATAAAAAGAAAAAAAAAGAAGAAAAGGAATGAAAAAAGAAAAAACAGAGGTCCAATTAATTTCACATATTTTTTTTTCAAATGAAAAAAAATATGATAATATTATTATTATATATATTATTCAAATGAAATGATACGATAATACCTTAGCTCTGGTTGCTTCTGTGTGAGATTTGTAACAAAATTCGAGTAGGGCAACTGCCAATGCAAGAAGAAGTCCACCTATCAGAATGTAAAAGATTCCGGCAACGTTACTCAATGATAATTCGTTTCTAGATGCGTCCTGTTTATCACCATGCCTGCATTCCGTTCTATCGTACCACCATCGATTCATCAATTTAGTTAATTCTCCGCTTTCTTTCAACGACAATACGGCCAGGTTGATCGAATCTCTGCGAAATAAAAGATACGAGATCAAACGAAAGAACATCATTTTTTATTTTACGTAGGTGAAAAAAAAAAAAAAAAAAAAAAAGATAAAAAATAAAATTAATAATTTTAGCTTTAATATATTATATTAATTGTTATATATAATAAATAATATCATCTGACTTTTTGTTGTATCTAATGATCGTTCTTAACTAAAAATATATAAAAGACCCTTCAAAGTGCTAGACTTTGTATTTATGGGAAAAGCTCGCTCATGGTAATGAAATCCGATTTCAAGATAAATCTGATTAACGGATAGAAAGAGGCCGAGGAGGAAGAGGAAGAGGAAAATTGGAATGAAAAAGCGTTACGAATAGATAGCTCGTTTCCTTCAAACAGACAACCCCTGATGGTTTTAGGTAAATCAAATTCAACCGAGTTAACAGACAAAAATCAAATCTGTATCGATCCGAATGATTCGATAAAGATCGGACAAAAAAGTAGGAGGATTTAATTTTCTTTCTTTTCTTTTTTTTTTTTTTAATCAGGATCAATCGACGAGTTAAATATATAAAGAAGAAGAAGAAGAAGAAGAAAAAGAATTTTTTTGTAGAAAGTAAATAGAATAAAAAAGAATGATAGATATATGTGTTCGATATTGCATAACGATCTAAGAATCTTTAGAAAAAGTTCGTTCGGAGTTTTACGTTTAAACGAAGAATGAGTAGAAATGTATGGATGATGATGGTAATGGTGATGGTGATGGTGGTGGTAGTTGTGAAGGATATACGATAAAAGGAAGTGAAGTGCGCTTCCATGTTAAGAACGTTCCCTAAAGGTAATGATATGGAAAGAAGAAGTATGCACCACGTTTTTCTATGCTAATTGAGCGTAATGACGCGCGGCTCATCCTATCCTCTCTCCCCCTTAAATCTCCCCTGCCCCCTTTCCCGCCCACACACCCACCTACTACCGACTTTTTCGAGAATACCAAAAAAAAAAAGAAAAGAATGTCCCAACCAACAGGAAAGATACCTACTTGCTTTCTTTCTCGAAGACGATAAAAACTTTCTTAATTGATTTCTTTAATAATATTTCATCAAAATTAAAATAAAAATTCATTAAAGTGTAATATTAAATCGTATTTGTATTTTATATTATCTTAGAGAAATTTCTTTATTAATATTTCGTTGAAAGTAAAATAAAAATTCATTAAAGTATAATATTTAATCGTATTTGTATTTTGTATTATTTTAGAAAAACGAGGTATTCTTATTATTTCGAAAATTAATAATATACAGACAATGGTTATCTTACCTCAAAGGTGAACCAAGTGGAGTTGCAACACCAAAACCCTTCGCGTCAAGATTTCGTCCAACTTTCATCGTATCACAGGGTAATCTTTCGTTGATGTATTCGTTTTTAGGACTCTCTATCAAAAGTGCATATTTTCCTTTGCTAGTTCTGACCTTTCTTATTCCTTCATCGTAAGTCTTTACGAATACGTGTTTACGTGAATTCATAAACTCCCACATTTTGCTGTAGAGACTTATCTGAGATTTCTACGAAGAGTAGATATAATTGTTTATTAACAAATATTATATATATGTATGTATATTGTTATAATTATATCTTTATAGTGTAGTTTCATTTAAGAAATTGCATAAAAAATTTAGGTAGAAAAAAGAATGTACTTTAATTTAATGTAAA